GTAAATCAAATATATACAGGAATTTTTTTTATTATTTATTGAACGAAAATAAAAATATAAAGAAAACGAATTATTTTCCTACATAGTTCCCTGCTACATTAATACATTTTTGCCAGCGAATAGGGAGTTTGGCGATCCCGTTTTCATAAAAAGTAGTAGATTGTGTATGCAGTTAATTGCGCACAATTCTTCTTTCAACGACCCAAATAAATGATAATCGCATGGAAAGATTTGTCTCAATGCCATTATCATTTGTTTGGGCCGCTAAAAGAATTGGGAGGATTCGAGGATGATGCCAAAAGAATTCGTGCGGAAAAATATATGAATGCAGCAGGGAGCTATGTAGAAAAATAATTTGTTTTCTTTATATTTTTATTTTCGTTCAATAAATAATAAAAAAAATTTCCCATTTATATTTGATTTACCCTCGTATATAAGAATAACAAATGTAATTAAAATAGATACCTATTATTAAAAGCAGATGATAAAAATAATGAATAAGAAATAAATCCTAACAAAATATAGTTATATTTCACAAAAATAGAACAATGTATCAATATAATAAAAATGAATGAAATAATTTCAAGATCAGTAACTAATAAAGTTAACTTGTGTTCATATTTAACACTTTATTTACTTTTACTGATTATCGACGTTCTATCGCTCGTATTATTCTCGCACCAATGATGTATCAAAAGCGCATTCGGATGACCGGCACCGTCACTTATCTATCTGCCACACGAAGATATGTGCGAGCCGGAAAAGTCAGAGGAAAGAGGGAGAAATGTCACGAAAGCGTAAGAGAGAGTGAACGATCGAGCGACGGAGAGCGTGGATGGGGAATGGTAGTTAATTAGCCCAAGTTAAAAGCTCGGCTTAAATGACCTATTCAGCGCTTAGCATCGAGTGAATTCACTTTGGTGCTCCCTCGACTCCACCCGCTCGAGGAAGATCCCGAGGACTACTGCATCGCACGCGCCGCGCGCCGTCTACGTTATCCCGTATCTTGCAGACTTAGGCCACTTTTACATCGGAAACCCGTCATATCGTACAGTCGCACGTTAAGCAAATTGAAGTAAAAAAAAACGATATCTTTTCTACGAGTTATTCAAAAGATATATATATATAAAGAGCTTTCTTATAGGAATGCGAACATTTACAATTTTCTCGAAACCTTTTTAAATAAGAAAAATATTACCTCTGAAGAAGTAATATTTTTATGAAGTTAGTAACTTTAACTTTCTTCCAATTTTTCTTCTCGGGATTTCTTTTCCGCCTTTAATTCATTCGAGAAATTAGTTTAATTCCTTCGGTGCACTTTTGGAAATCGATAAGGGCGTGAACATGGCTTGAATCGTTTCCTACGTCACCAGCCGAGCTTTTCTTCAATCTTCGTCGCACTTCGACAACCACTGCCGTTCCCCGTATCATCATGACTAAATAAAATCTATTAGGAAATGGAATAGGGCGCAGCGAACAGTTGTGAGTGTAATGAAAAATCTTTACGATGACGAAGCACAGGGGAGAGAATTGACGTTGCAGACGCAAATGCGATATCGACAGTGGTGTAAAACAGTAAAACCAAAAGAGTGCAGTTCCGCTCCAACGGAACACTTAAATTTGATTTATATCTGATTTGAGAATTTAGTGAAGTGTAGCAAGTGCTTCGAGAAATCAAATTTTCGCCATTTCTAAGAAGTATCACGTCTGCTATCGAATAATGTGCACATTTGTATGCAAACGTAATACTACATAAATCTACTTTTAAATTGTCCGCGAATATTTACACAATGCCCCTAAAGTCGGAACTTTATACGTGAGTACAGTTACGAAGCAGAAATCATATTCAGCGATCTGATAATAGATCAGTATTTACATCGTATCTTTTCTGCTTTCTCATCCGCACCCGCGTATCGTTCCTCTCTCTTTCTTCATTCCCCTTTCGATTTAAAAGACGCGGATCTCTCCTTTTTCTCAACTTCTCGACCTACTACTGAAAGTGCAGTGGGAGTTGTTAACCTTAGCTTGTGGTTTAATTACACGGGCAAATATTATCGAACTGACGGAGTTAATTAGATAATTAAAACTTGAAGGGTAAACTACTTTGCGAGCCGAGCGACGCCCTGGTCTTTGAATATACATGAACATATATAGGCAGATACCATCGGTGTGTACGTTGAAAGATGCAAGACGGAGGATCGCTAACTGAAGATCTTCTATACGTTTGAAAATATAATTATAAAGAAAAATCGCAATAGAAATTTTATTTCCATAATTCCCTATTTAGCAGTGAATGTATATATCCACAGAATACTTGAAAATTGTAAAAAAATTTCCAAGTTTTACAAAACAAATGTAAGAATATGATTTTATGACGGACATTTTTATTGTATAAAACAATGTTAGTAACATAACTCATAATTAACTGCTAAAGAAATATTTCACAAAATTATATACATATATTTTTATTTAAAAAAAATATATTTTCATTTATCAGAGCTCTTGTGAATTTTTTGTTTTTCTGAGAAAATTGAACATTTAATTTATTGGTTTATGAAAATCTGAAAATGTTTAAAGTTTAACTTCTGTGAAGTTAGCACTTTATCTTTTAAAAAAATAATTTGTTTTGTTACAGTTCTTAATGTATCTCTTAAGAGTTTTAAAATTCCTTAATAAAATTAAATATAAAAAGTATTATAATATAAAAAGCTTGCTGATGTATTCCAAAAGTTATAGTGGGGGATACTAATATTCTTTAATTGCTCAACGCAGTATTCCGTGATGAACTTATAGGATTAAATAAATTACACGTAATTTCTCTCGTGATTTACGACTATGTGGCGCCAACGGTACGTTGACGAAGAAATCCCTTTAAAAAGGAGGAATTCCAGCGGCCGGAGATCAGCGGCCGTATGTTTCCGGCATCATTATCTCCGGTCGGCAGAACTCTCGGGACCCTCGTCAGAGTCGGCGTTTATATCGCGAATCCTCTCTCGGATAAGTGAATCCCCACAGTCGGACGAACCGAGTTTAAACGCTTTAGCTAGCGCGATCTGCGATTAGTGGAGAAGACGACTGTGACTGTGATGGACAGGTCAGCGATGCGCATGTATCGCCTTCAAGGCTCTGCGTCGTGCGAAATTTCGCAGTTAACGCTCAGCAGACCATCAGTTTTCTCTGAATTATAGAATTTACGCGAAGAAGTAGTATAATATTTTTCATTTTTCCCTCGCACGCTTGAAATCTCTTTTATCGTGTCCAGAAAGAGTATGCTTACAGTGCGAAATATTAAAATACGCGAAAAAAAACTGTCCATCTCGATGACTACACCAGGTCTATCTCAAACGAAAAACTTTATGATGAACGATGAACTACCTATAATAATGATAAGACTGAATTCGGGTTCAAAATAAATTTATTGATATCGGAGCATATTGATACAAAAATGAAACGATTGTAGCGGTGAAAACGTCGTGCAGTCATAAAGAACAAAAACAAACAATCTAGAACTGCGCGTGCAATCAGATTGAAAAATTCAAATTTTTCAAATGTCATCTTTAACACGACTATCTGCTCTCTAATTTTTTAAATTTATTTCGCTACCTTTTTGAGATGAATTTCAAAAGACACGATGGTTTATGTTCTGGTTTAACAGCGCAAATATGGCTATTTGCATATGTTAGATTTAATATAATTCAGAATTAGATTATTCACATTCCGCGCAAGATACAACGCTAATTCAAAGTGAGAATATGGACCAATTTACGCGCGTATTACAGATGTGTATTTGCACAATCGCGCAGATACCGGCCAAGAAGCAATCATGACCGCGTTATTATGCGCTCGTCGAGCATATGTTAATTCGCGTAGGAGATGATGAATGCAGCGAAGAACTGGCAGATATACCGGGTATCTTGAAATTATCGTATGTCCTGTTCTCTAATATCGAATATTAAATTTAAATTAAATTTTTATTACCATAAAATAAAATCCTTTTAAAAGTAAAAATACCATTATTTTCATTTAATCTTCTGATTATAAAAAAAATTTTCCGTGTTAATTCGTGATGAGTTTTATCGTTATCTAATTGCTCAATTATTCAACAATTGCCGATAGTTCAATATTTTTATAGTAATTTAATATTTTTATTGATGAAAACGTCAATAAATGTCGTAAAATGATCAGAGGGTAAAAGATACTACGACGGTCCCAGGACACCCTATATACATATAAAACGACGCTGATAGGCAAACGCAGTGCCCGATTCATTAAAGTTTACACCGAGGAAAGCTCTCGAGCGCGCCCACAGCAAAGCGCCCGCCTGTACAAACAATTGCAACGAGCTCCCAACTAATCTGGTGTGTCGACGGAGGCTGGTCGACGGCGGGGAGAAGAGAAATGGGAGAGTGGGAGATGAGAGCAAAGTAGAATATCAACATCCTCCGCTCGTCCAACTTGAGGAATTTGCTGCAAGCTTTCCGAGATGGTGTTTCGAATGAAACCAGAAGCAACATATCCACAGAATCGTCCCGACTGACCGAATTTAATGTACACGTGTCTATGAATTTGCAAGAGTTATGCGAAAGGAAGAGGATATTCTAAAGAAAATTCCTTCCATTATCCTCTTATAAAACGTAAAATTTCATTTATATCCATTATCCAGCGTAATCGTGCAGAAACAGATTCATTATTATTTTGAGAAGAAGAAAATTCAAATTTAGAATGACTAATATCCATTTCTACTAACGTAGATTAAGTTTAATCTCGGTTTAATTCGCTCTTTATCCTTCTCTAGTTCTAAGAATTAGAAAAAAATGAAGACTAAGTTGAACCGAGATTAAGGTTAATCTACATTGGTAGAAACGGACATAAATGTCACAATGGCGTGATGAATTGTGATTTTGACCAATCTTGTACAACTTTTAACTCTTTAATAAGACATCCTTTTATATCGTTTAATAGGATCGTTGTCTAACATCGTCGTTTCTTTTCTGTTGCAGGCACAAGCGGAAAGTGCAAAACCTGCTGCCGTGTAAGAGCGCAGCGGGCGCGGCGGCGGTCGCCGGACGGGGTCGCGTGCTGCCAGACGGCCAG